GACAACTGGTGTAAGGGGGGCACTGATGGGGACGCTTGATGTAAGGAAGCACTCTGATAGGGACACCTGATGTAAGGAGGGTTCAGATAGGGACACTCAATGTAAGGGGGCACTCTGATGGGGACACCTGATGTAAGGGGGGTCCTGATGGGGACGCTTGATGTAAGGGGGCACTCTGATGGGAATACCTGGTGTAAGGGGGGCACTGATGGGGACGCTTGATGTAAGGGAGCACTCTGATAGGGACACCTGATGTAAGGGGGGCTGTGATGGGGACACTTGATGTAAGGGGTCACTCTAATGGGGATGCCTGGTGTAAGGGGGGGCCCTGATGGGGACACTTGATGTAAGGGGGCACTCTGATGGGGATACCTGCTGTAAGGGGGACTCTGATGGGGACACTTGATGTAAGGGGGCGCTCTGATGGCAACCTGATGTAAAGGGGATCTCTGACGAGTACTCATGATGTCATGAGGATCTCTGATGAGGACTTGTGATGTAAAAGGGGACATCCGATATAAGGGGGCACATGATCTGTTTCATCACCCTAATTTAATGACAGCTTAGTACATACCAGTGTTTTCTCAGGTTGTTACACTGTGTGACAGACTGTTGGGGACTCACACACAGTGTTGACATTAAACCCCAGTCTTTTTTTTTTACTACACTCCCAGATCAGATAGGCTAGATCCAGCCCTGAGTTATAACCATACCATATTCTAGCCAAAATTAAAAAAAAAAGCAGAACTATTCATCTTGTGATTTTGCATGTATATTTGTTCTTTGTGAAGAGGGGCAAAAATGAACGCTATTAGGCAATTTTCTTTCCAGGTCGAATATTATTCTATATACAGAATAGAGTGAATCAGTAAAGTACAGCATCATGGCCTCTATGTGGAGCTGATGATAATAGTAAATAACTATTACCTATGATCATCAGCTACATTCTGCTCTCTCTACTTAGTATGAAGAGAAAATAGCCTATTAACATTCATTTTTGCTCCATTCACAAAGAACAAATGTGCATGCAGTTTCAAAGGATGACTACCTTTGTGATTTTTTTTTTTTTTAATAAATACACCCCTTAGTTATGTTACACTAACCTGCTAAATGGTTGTCCCAAAATAAAGTAACGTGAAATCTCACAATATACATGACAATCTGATTGTACAATCTTCTTTAGATCTAACAGCAACTATGTAATCTAAAGGCCTGTACAACTGGATAATTGAATGAATTGTTTAGATTTGTCCTCATATTACATAGTTTTGGTAATTTTGCAGAAGATTGTACAAATATATTGGGACTGTTTATGGCCATATTAATGGAGTCTTGGATAAAAGTAAAAACTGGTAGAGCTTCTAACCTTTCCCCACTCCATCCAAAACAGAAACATTGGTTATAGATACATTTTAAAGTGGAGTTCCAAAAACTGTAGATGTTGACTTTTTTAAAATACAGACATTTACCTGTCCCACGGTCCAGCGGTGTCCTCTCCATGGCTGGTTCCACCGGCCATCTTCTCTCCCCGGTGCCAGCATCTTCAGTGCGGGCACCCGGCTGTGACAGCTTGCGGCTTCACAGCTGGGTGCCCACTGCGCATGCGTGAGAAGCGCTGCACTTTGTGAATGGCCCCATAGTCTTCTGGGACCTGTCACATGTCCCATAAAACTACGGGGAGGGAGGACAACTTCTGCTTCTGATTGCCTAGGCAATCACAGTGGAATTGGGAACGGGTACCTGTCAAATTCGGGTAACCGCTCCCCAAAGGTGCCAATCCTTAATGGGGAGCGAGGGACAAAGGCTTAAAGCGGAACTTCCCCTTTTGGGTGGAGCTCCACTTTAATTCTCCATCATACAATGTATTTACCTCTATTGCAAATGAAAATTTATCTATACAGCTATAACAAATGTTGGAATGCTCTGAACCATGTTTTGGTACATCAGTGTAATAATATGCTACATTTAATGCCAGCAAAAGAAAGGAGATTAAAAAGATAAAATGTATCTCATCATAGGATACAGCATTTATTTTAGCTGTAAAAGTAAACTTTCATTTGCAACCACCATTAATGCAGAAATTATTGCAGCAAATAAAAAACTGCAAGATATCACATTTTTGTTTTGGGATAAAATACCACTTTACAATTAAAAAAGTTTAAAAAAGCCTCCAAGAACAGTAAAACGTGACAGGGGTTCTAATCCTTACCTACTCTGTCTGAAGTGAAAAACTTTGACTATAGATACACTTTAATATTCTAAAACTGCATATACAACAGAAGAGCAATCAGTATTATTTCACAAGGTAAGGAACAACTGCAGTCCATCAAATATCTTCTTTTGTTGTTCTGTTTAATTCTAAATATAAAGTGTTACAGCGCTTTGCATACTATTTCCCTGCTTAGGTTGTTATTATCCTAATAATAATTATACTATTACTAATGATATAGTATTATATCTTATTAATACAAGTTGCATTTATGATGATAATTACAGATTAGGCAATACAACATGCTCTTGTATGTGATGGATATCTGACACTCTGCTCCGTGTGATAAGCTGGCAGATACACTAGTGACTGTGATGAAGTTACAGCTACACTAGAACATGGTATAGGCAGATATAGTAGCAAGTATTATGCAGAAAAAGAATGCACTGGTACAATTGTTGGATGAAGGATGAAATGGTACATGAGATGTAGATATTGGCTGCAATGATACATAGACTTGAGATGTTGGATGCAATAGTACATGAGATGGAGATGTTGGATGCAATGGTATACTGAGATGGAGATGTTGCATGCAATAGCACATGATATGGAGATGTTGGATGCAATGGTATACTGAGATGGAGATGTTGGATACAATAGTACATGAGATGGAGATGTTGGCTGCAATGGTAACTGAGATGGAGATGCTGGATGCAATAGTACATGAGATGGAAATATTGGATACAATAGTACATGAGATGGAGATGTTGGATGCAATAGTATATGAGATGGAGATGCTGGATGCAATAGTACTTGAGATGGAGATGTTGGATGTAATAATAACTGAGATGGAGATGCTGGATGCAATAGTACTTGAGATGGAAATATTGGATATAATAGTACATGAGATGGAAATATTGGATACAATAGTACATGAGATGGAGATGCTGGATGCAATAGTACATGAGATGGAGATGCTGGATGCAATAGTACATGAGATGGAAATCTTGGATACAATAGTACATGAGATGGAAATATTGGATACAATAGTACATGAGATGGAAATATTGGATATAATAGTACATGAGATGGAAATATTGGATATAATAGCACATGAGATGGAAATATTGGATACAATAGTACATGAGATGGAAATATTGGATACAATAGTACATGAGATGGAAATCTTGGATACAATAGTACATGAGATGGAAATATTGGATACAATAGTACATGAGATGGAAAAATATTGGATATAATAGTACATGAGATGGAAATATTGGATATAATAGTACATGAGATGGAGATGTTGGATGCAATGGTTACTGAGATGGAGATGTTGGATGCAATAGTATACTGAGATGGAGATGTTGGATGCAATAGCACATGAGCTGGAGATGTTGGATGCAAGGGTATACTGAGATGGAGATGTTGGATGCAATGGTAACTGAGATGGAGATGCGGAATGCAAAAGTACATGAGATGGAGATGTTGGATACAATGGTAACAGAAATGGAGATGTTGGAGGCAATGGTACATGTGATGGAGATGTTGGATGCAATGGTATACTGCGATGGAGATGTTGGATGCAATGGTACATAAGATGGAAATGTGGGATATAATGGTAAATGAGATGAAGATAAAGGAGACAATGGTACATAAGATGGAAATACAGTGAGCTGGAGATGCAGGGTGCAATGGTATGTGAGACAGAAATGTTGGATGCAATGGTACGTGAGTTGTAAAAATGTAGAAACTGGATACAATAGTATATGAGACAGATGTAGAATGCAATAGTACATGAAATGGAGATGCAGGCTATAATCGTACATGAGTTGGAGATGTTGAATGCAATAGTATATGAGTTGGAGAAATTGGATGCAATGGTACATGAGACAGAAATGTAGGATGCAATGACATATAAGATGGAGATGTTGGAAGCAATGGTACATGAGATGAAGACACAGGACACCACGTATGATGAGAATGTGGTGGTGCAGGAGGTGCAAATTCAGGATTCACTGGTGAATATGGTGGAGATGGAGGATGCCATGATACAAGTGTTATGAATATACTATGAGAAGTGAGAAGATTCAGTGGGACCAGACTGAGATGTAGGATGTACTGGTATTAGGAAAGTGATGCAGAACACAATGATACCGATAGGATACAATGGTTAATAGGAAGGTGCAGTGATACAGGAGATGGGGAAGAATTGGTAATATGGCAGAGATGGAGGATGCAGCTGTACATGTCATAAGGATGCACTGGAAAAGGGAAAGAGATGCAGAATATCTCGACTAATATGACTACTGAGATACAGTGTGCGCTGGTACATAGGATGCAGTAGTACAGATAATGATGCAGAATGCATTGGTACCAGGGATAGGGATGGAGAGGTACAAGGGATGACGATGGTACATGGGATGGAAATGCATTGTGCAAGGGATGAGGAGGCAGGATGTAATAGTACAGAGGATGAGGCTGTAGGATGCATTGTTGCTCGGATGGAGAGGAGGGTGCCGTGGTACACGGATGGAGAGGAGGGTGCAGTGGTACACGGATGGAGAGGAGGGTGCCGTGGTACACGGATGGAGAGGAGGGTGCCGTGGTACACGGATGGAGAGGAGGGTGCAGTGGTACACGGATGGAGAGGAGGGTGCAGTGGTACACGGATGGAGAGGAGGGTGCCGTGGTACACGGATGGAGAGGAGGGTGCAGTGGTACACGGATGGAGAGGAGGGTGCCGTGGTACACGGATGATGTAGTCTCCCTCGCTCCAGCCAGTTACCCGCATCATGCTCCCCCAGGAAGGTATCCTCTTCCCCGGCTCTCGGTCCCGGCTCTCCCCCTGCCTCCTCTTCGGGCAGGCGGGGGAAGCTGGTGATGCTCATATAGTCCACCGGGGAGTAGGAGCCCAGAGATCGCCCGGGGCCCGGCTCCGCCATCTCCTCCAACCTCTGATGTCACCGGCCCAGGGGAGGTGGGGAGGAGAGCCAGGCACGGTGGAGGGCGGGGCCGGTGACGTCACCGAGAACAGCTGTTGTCCGGGTTGTCACAGTTGTGGACATGAATTGTGCGGGTGACGTCACGAACTTACTTCCCAATGGTGGAAAAAGAGTAAAATGACGTCATGTGTAGAGGTGAAACGATTGGATTTGCAGTCCCATCACTGGTTGTCATAGTCTTTAGTTTTATATATATATATATATATATATATATATATATATATATATATATATATATATATATATATATATATTTATATATACAGGCTCGGACTGGGACAAGAAGTAGGCCTGGGCATTTTGGACTAAGCAGCCCCAAGCCCGGGAAGAAAGGAAGGTGGGAAAGGAAGAAAAGAAGGAAAGGAAGGAGGAAAAGAAAAAGGATGGAGGGAAAGAAGGATGGAGGGAAAGAAGGAAGGAGGGGAAGAAAGAGGGAAAGAAGGAAAAATGGAACTAAGGAGGGAAAGAAAGAAGGAATTAAAGAAGAACGGAAGAAAAGAAGGAAGGAGGAAAAGAAGGAAGGAAAGAAGAAGGAAGGAGGGAAAGAAGGAAGGAAGGGAATAAAGAAGGAGGAAAAGAAGGAAGGAGCGAAATTAGGAAGGAGGGAAAGAAGGAAGGTCAGAAAGAAAGAGGGAAAGATAGAGGAAAAGGAGGGGAAGAAAGAGTGAAAGAAGGAAAGAGGGAAAGAAGGAAAGAGGGAATGAAGGAAGGAGGGAAAGAAGGAAAAAGGTTAAGAAAGAGGGATAGAATGAAGGAGAGAATGAGGGGAAAAAAGAATGGAGATAAAGAGGGAGGGAAAAAAGGAAGGTGGGAAAGAAGGAAGGAGTGAAAGAAAGAGGGAAAGAAGGCAGGAGGGAAAGAAAGGGGGAAAAAAAGAAGGAAGGAGAGAAAGAAGGAAGGAGGAAAAAGGAGGGAAAAAAAGAAGGAAGGAGGGAAACAGGAGAGAGGGAGAAAAAGAAAGAAAGAAAATAGAAAATAAGGAGAGATAGAAAGAAGAAGGTGGGAAAGAAGACACAAGGTTTCAGGGGAGTGTGGGCAGGGCAGACACAGGAGGAGAGAGGGCAGGAGGAGGAGGGGCAGCTTTCTTTCTTCTCTCTTGTCTGTGGTGGTGGGGGGGGACTGTCAGCATTGGGGACAGAATATGCAGACAGATCCCCCGCAGCAGCTGCAGGAGAAGAGGGGGAGGAGGCGGCCACAAGGGGAGCATACAGGAGCCCAGGGCATGCAGAAGATGGATAGGAGGGGCGGCTGGGCGGCACATAGAGGAACCAAGAAATGCAGCAGTCCGGTTCCTATATGTGCCACCCAGCCGCCCCTCCTATGCAGGTGGACCCAGCCCACCAGGCAAATGCCCGGTGTGCCTTATGGCCAGTCCGGGCCTGTATATATATGTATTTATCTCTCTGCTCATGCTAAAAGTTCCCTGGGTGTTTGGGCTGTCACCACTCATTGGCAATGAGAATATTGGGGCTATTACTGGTAATTTATTTGTAAATGTAAGCTCTGAGATGAGCAAATGTTGTCTAAATACATTCATCATGTGTATTCCTCTAGGAATCTTTGTGTGCTTTGTATATTCCTTCCAGATCAGTGCAGAAATCCAGTTTCAAGCATACTTCCTGTAATAAAGACCAGTCACTGCTGTTCTCTCTCCTTGTGCAGAATGACTGGTCTTGTCTCCGCCCCATCCTGTAGTTTTCTGCAGGCAGCTTGTAGTGGGTGGTGCCTTCTGGGTCCCTCCCACAGCTCTGCTCTCTATTCAGGCTATATACAGCACAATGATGATGGCACTGCTACTTTTTACAAGGTGAAGCTGGACTTCCAAAGGCATTTGGTGCACACAAAATGAATCTATATCCTTTTGTAGCTATGGAGGAATATATCTAAATGAAAGTTTTTTTGTCCCAAGTTCATCTGTAAGGTTCAGGCTCCAGGAGTTTCATCTTCATCCTTGCAGGTTTGCCATCTGCCCAGAAACTTACAGATAAAAAATGATAAAAAATGAACTGGTCTGAACAGACTAGAAGGGATGGAGCAGCTGATTCTCACCATCCACGACCTTTACTAAGACCAGGGTGAACTGGCTGCACTATAAAACCACGGAGGAGTATAGATGAGTTATGTCTAATTCTCTACTGTTTCAGCTGATTCAGATGTGGCTCCAAATGGCGGAGATCTGTGGCCCTGGCCTTAAATGCCTTACCTATTTACCAATACCATAGCCTGCCTATGTATCCCTTTGAAGAATAGTTATACTATTGCCTGCTGGGAGGGGAGAGTTTGGTTTTGTTGGCAGCATGGCCCTTCCTCGTGGCGGAGTGGAGCTCACTTCCATTAGCTGAACCCTTCACCCCCATACCCCTCCTGTTTTTTGCCTTGGGAGTAAGTAGGCTACTACGGGCTCATTCGCTTGATTATAGCTCCTGCTGACACTGGGGTAATAACCACAAAATATAGTGATTTTGTAGTGTTTTTGTTGTTCACTATTGTAGCATAGGCTATTTTTGCTTTTCTTTTATTGTCTTGTTTTTCTTTCCACCTTTGTATGTACATTATGTGTTGGACAATTCCATACCTGTGGGCTCTGCATTGGCAGCTGTAGGTCTAGAGCGGGTGTCGGCAACCCGCGGCTCCAGAGCCGCATGCGGCTCTTTTTCACCTTGGCTGCGGCTCCGGATCACACTGCCCACCAGGTGACAGGCAATAGGGTCTTCTGTGTGCCGGGCGCCCGCTCCCCTCCCTCCTCTCTCTCGGGCGGTCGCCCCAAAAAGTCAGGACTCTGCAGCTAGCCCAGCAATGGGCAAACTATGGCCCGGCGGACCTTTTAATCCGGCCCGCAGAGGGTGGCAAACATTTGCTGTCAGGATATAGGCGGGGCAGCGTGACGAACTCCTCTCCTTTCACAGTCCGCCCTGAAGACCGGAACGGCGCGGGAACATGGCGAGAGGAACGCGCGGAGCAAAGGTAAGTGAATTGACACAATATGGGGAATGAATTACTATAGGGGGGATGAATTATTATAGGGGGGATGAATTACTATATGGGGGATGAATTACTATGGGGGATGAATTACTATATGGGGGATGAATTACTATGGGGGATGAATTACTATATGGGGGATGAATTACTATGGGGGATGAATTACTATATGGGGGATGAATTACTATGGGGGATGAATTACTATATGGGGGATGAATTACTATATGGGGGATGAATTACTATATGGGGAATGAATTACTATATGGGGGATGAATTACTATGGGGGATGAATTACTATATGGGGGATGAATTACTATGGGGGATGAATTACTATATGGGGGATGAATTACTATGGGGGATGAATTACTATATGGGGGATGAATTACTATGGGGGATGAATTACTATATGGGGGATGTATTTTCAGTTTTAAAAATGTGGCTCTCAAAATAAATTTCAATCGTGGTTTTGGCGAGATTTGGCTCAGTTGAAAAAAAAGGTTGCCCACCACTGACCTAAGGCTATGATTGTGATTATGATGATACACTGTGGCCCTGATTAACCCTTTGCTTACTGGGCCCTTAAACCCCCTTCATGACCAGAGCGCTTTTTGCAATATATGCAGTGTCGGATTTGTTTTAAATGTTGCAATGGTTTTGCGGCTCCCAGTCTTTATTTCCCTCTCGGAAACGGGTCCAAGTGGCTCTTTATGTCTTAAAGGTTGCAGACCCCTGGTCTAGAGGATGAATGGTGGATCCTAATTGTGGACTGACCCCTTGGGGGTATTTCATTTTGTTGTATTTGTACTTTTGTAAACTTTTCAATAAACATATTATGGGAAAATAAATGAATTGATCTCAGTCAGTTGGAAAAAAAAAGTCAAATGTCCATAAAAAGTATATATCCTTGGCTTCCTTTTATAAACTGCAATGAAGTGAAACTGTGTCAAATATCCAATCATGTGGCCTAAATGAACTATTTAAATGATCAAAAACAAGGAGTTAAGCTTCCCTACCAGGAATTGTATATATGTCCTGGTAGGGAAGCAGTTATACCAGGATCATGGTTGAGGCTACAACCAGGGGAGTATTTACCAGAAGGCAAACAAGGCATTTGCCTAGGGTGGCATTTTTCAGGGGGGGCAGCAGCATCTTTCAGGCAGCAGCAGCATTTTTCAGGGGAGCAATGCCACCCCTCAAAAGAAGGGATGGAAGAAGGGACACACACAGCATGGGGACCAGGTGGGATCTGAGAGAGGCTGCAGGCTGCTTGATGGTGTATGCAGAGCCTGACTCTTGTTCCCAGGGATGTCCGGAGCTGTGTAGGTGAGTGTCTTCTCTCTCACAGGGTCAGGGGGGGTTACCAGTGTATGGGGAAGGCTCTTTCGGTTGCGGGTGGGGACAGGGGTCTTGTTGGTCAATGTCAGGCTCTCTTCGTGGGGGAGGGGGTGCTGGTCGGTGTCAGGGTCTCTCCATGGGGGAGGGGCATTTTTCTGTGGCCTAGGGCAGCATGGAACCTAAATACACCACTGGCTACAACCATGATCCCGGTATCATTTCTTCAAGCAGCTGCTTGGATTACTTTTATAGGTGGCGGGAGGGGATGCTGCGCTGTTACTGGGCTTCCCATGCATTCAGGAAGTCCAGGATCTGATCTGGTGCTGCCACCGGGTTATCACAGAGCTGGCCATGGAGCAGATGGTTCCCGGACATCTCTATGGGTCTGGCAAGCTAGAAGCGACCTAATGATGTCACTTCCAGTTCTGGCAGTTGTAAACACTGCCATCTTTTTCTGGGAAGCCTGAGATCAATTTTTTTTTAATCTTATAGACCCCAGATATCTTCATAAAGAGGACCTGTCATGCCTTATTTCTATCACAAGGGGATGTTTGCATTCCTTGTGATAGGAATAAAAGAGGTAAAAAAAAAAAAATTCAAGGAACAATGTAAAAAAAACCCCAAAA